AGCTGCTGCAGAGTCTTCCCCTTGCATCCATCTGCTATCAATCTTCATTCCACAGTAAGGATTTCTCCACTTGCTTCAGCTCCGATCAATCTTCCAGCAGCTTCCAGTCCAGTCCATTCTGATACCTTTTTGTGCAATTTGGCTCTCTTTTATGCTAATTTTCCACATTGACCCTCTGAGATACCTGAACTACAAAATCACCCCAAAAGTAAACTAATCCTAACTAATTGATACCTAATATTGAGTAAAAATGAGTAAAAAATGCTTGCTAAAAGTGTATTTTTATGTTATCAGTTAGGGTATAGAAGACTGTCAGAATTAGAGCAGAGATGGATTGTACAGCTACTCAGTACGTGGAAAAGCTGTAAGATAAAGAGGAAAATTTTTTAGGTTGTTGTAAGTGCGATGTATTTACCACCTGTGGGAGGAAAGAAAGAGAAGGTACTTCGAAGGTCAGGATCGTAAAGTAAAAGATGTATTGAAGCAGATTCAGGGAGAGTTACAACACATATTTCTGACCTGGTATAAGGGGAGGACTTCGCAAGAAGATACAGAGATACTACATCATACTTCCTATAGACTGAGTATGAGTGTATTGCTGTTTTTTTTTTTTTGTCATTTTGTTGAAATAGAGTGGTTGTGATGATGTGTGAATTTGTTTTTGAGGTGGTTGTATCTCTGCAATTTTGTAACAACTAGGAAACAGAGGAGAAATGTACTAAACTTGTTCATTTTTGCTGACTTGTGAATATATATAATTTACATCTTTCACCAATACATAAGGTGCTATCCAATCAAATCTTACCATCCAAAAATATAAAAAATTTTACATTATATACCGTATTATTTACTTCATTATTTTCTTCAATTATTTTTTCATAATTTTGTGTGGATCAGCAGAGTAAATGGTGAATTATTGATTTTTGGTTTATATAGGGCCATATTAAAACAAATAAGAAGAAAAGAATGAATAAATAAATAAATATTTAAATTTTGTTTGTTCGGGGTAAAAATGAGAGAGAATAAGGTGAAAAGGATATTGTATAAACTAATATCAGAAGAGCAATCAGCTTTTCTCTCAGGGCGAGATGTTAGTGATATAATGTTCGGTTGGCACAGGATCTTTGCTAGTTTCTTGGTCATAAAGCTGAGGGTGATAATGTATTGTATAAAGTTGATATGAAGAAAACCTTTGATCATGTTTCTTGGCATTTTTTGGAATCGGTTTTGTTGGCCTTTGGTTTTCCGGGGAGCTTTGTAAACTTCATCATGAATAATTTGAGGGGTAGTTGTTTCTCTTTGTTGATAAATGGAAGTCCTGCTGGATTCTTTAAATCTTCTAGAGGAATTAAACAGGGTGATCCGATGTCTCCATACCTATTCATTCTGGTCGGAGGCCTTGTCGGGAAGATTAAAGTTCCTGGTTGATGATGGGAAGATAGCAAATTTTGGCACTCCGGCAAGTTCTCTTCAAATTTCACATTTGTGCTTTGCTAATGATTTGATAATCTTCACAAAAGGCCTTAAAAGATCTCTCCAACAGTTAAATAAATTTTTTGCTGAATATGAGGCTGCTTCAGGTCAGTGTATTAATAGACAGAAGAGTTGTTTTTTAGTCTCTGATAAGTGTTGTGTTAGTCGTGTTGAGACTATTAAAACTGTGATAGGAATGGAGAGTTTCTTTTTCTTTTTTCTATCTGGGGTGCCGGAGTTTTATGGGAAGGAAAAAGGTAAAATATTTTCAGTATTACTTGATGCTATGGATATGAAGATTATAAATTGGAAAAACAAAATATTGTCTTCGGGAGGTAGACTTTTGTTGATTAAACATGTATTAGCTGTTATACCTATACATACTTTGGCTGCTATAGATACTCCAAAGTCTGTAATTTTGGCAATGGAGGCTAAATGTCAAAAGTTTCTTTGGGGAGACGCGGAAGAATTTTCTAGGTGGCATTGGAGGGCATGGCGTAAGCTTGTGTTTCCCATAGGAGAAGATGGATTTGGGGCTGCGAAAAGTTTCTGAAATAGTAGAAGCCTTTTCAGCAAAATTGTGGTGGAAAATTGATATGAATCTTGAGGCAAAGGTGGCAGATTTACCTCGACGCGGAAGCTATGAATTTCCCAGGACTTGAAAACTTGCAAATCCAATATTATGGACTCCAATACTCACGAAAATTAAAAGAAAAGAAGAGATGCAAACCACAAAAATTTGCACCAAAAAGGGATGGAAAGGTTTAGAAGATGTAGAAAGTGTTTAAGGTTAGCCACCCAATCGGTCACACCTCTAACAACCCTATCCCTTCGATTTATGGATAGAACGGCTAGCGAAAAGGCTCCAATGATCAACTAACAAAGCTCCACAAGTAGAAAAACACCTATTCTACTCGCACGCATCAACAAAGCACAAGCTTGTGTGCAATGCACTAATCTTCGAAAAGAGTAGTAAAAGAATAAAGAGTTTTCTCTCGTTTCATATTGAAATAATTCATCAAAGGTACAAATAAAATGATGGCCAAACACCCCTATTTATAGTAGAGGGGGCCGAAATTCTCCTATGAAATAGGAGAAGAGTTTGATCTCTAACTCTATTCCTACTTTAAAGAACTAGAAATCAACTTAACCTCTAATTGACAACTTGTGTCTTATCTATTAAGGCAATGTATCTAGACACCTTTATAGACTTAAGACACACTAGTCTAATAAAAATAAAACTCCAAATACAAAGAGATATTCTCTCAAAACAATCTTATCCTTATCTTGAAAAGAATCTTCCTGAGTTGTCAACTCTATCAATATCTTCTTTGTAGAGTAATCATAGCCATCCAATCTTGATCTAATCTCCATCCGACGGTTGAGAGTAGACACCAAGGAATAGACTTCTTATTTTGATTAAACTCTAAATTAGATAAAAGAGAATCATATGAAATCTTATCCTTCCATGTGATAAGATTTAAGGATAAGATTTAAATGATCTTGTCTCTAAAAGATAGGGAATCTTCCAAATCTTATCCTTCCACAAGTGTGATAAGATTTAAATGATTTTATCCCTAAAGAATAGAGATTCCAACTCCTAAAAATTAGGAGATAGGGCTGGGCTCCCTTGCATGGTTTGTGGGCCGAAATTTCCTTCCTCAAATGGGCCTCGTAACACATTAATAATCTTGGGCTTGTAAGTTACAGACTTGACATTCTCTTGGGCTAAACCATTGGATATAAGATTATTAAGTGCACTCCTCATCCTTTTACTTATAGCTTGAGTCATTGGGCCTCCAATGTTGGATAATGGATCTTGAGTCACTCCTTGAGCTTGGACAGTACTTGGAACCCGAACATCTTGATCATCTTAGACTTGATTACCATGGATGTTCACATCAAAAATAGAGAGTAAAAAGGGTTTATGGAGTCTTTTCATTCACTCTTTAACTCTTTCTACAAGGAGGAAGACGATGTGGAATTGAGTTCAAAAGATAAAGGTGAAGGCTGCGAGATTTTCAAAAATCTTGTTGCGCAATGGTGAGAGTTCTTTTTGTCTTAAACTGTTCGTCCTTTGGAGTTTTGTGGGATATTCCTCAGCATGATCCACCTTTTCCAGCATTAACAGTCCGCCAATTTTTTGAAAATAGATTGCAACATGGTCATTTGTTGTATGATCACCTAGCTGATAATGTGATAGATGTTTTGCTAGAAATGCCGGGGAACTTTATTGATGAGAGAGACCTTCTAATTTGGCAGCCTACCTCTAACGGAGATTTTACAATCAAGTCAGCATGTGAGGTGATGAGAATGAAGAACGACAAGCATTCGCTAATGGAAAAAGGTATGGAATAAGGTGATCCCTATTAAAATTTCTATGTTTACATGGAAGTTATATAACTATTTCCTTCCTTTTCCTGAAGTCCTCAAAAACTTTGGCTTTATCATTTATCCTTCAATGAATGTGAAAATATATTTTTAAGATTTTTTCGTCGATGAAGAGAACACAATGAATGTGAAAATATATTTTTAAGATTTTTTCGTCAATGAAAAATATGTACTAGGTAAAATCTATGAAAAGTCGAAATGCCTTATAATAAGGACGAGAGGGAATAGGACTTTTCCTCTTTTACTATCCTTAACGTTGGCTCTCAACGGTCTTCCATGGCCCGCCGTCCAATTTACGGCGGCGGCGGCAGTGCTCAAACAACACCAGAACCTTTCTCCAAGTATTAACAAATCCTTCAAATTCGCAACATCAAGCAACGGAATCTTCGGGTGGAGACGTTTCTATGCACAATGGAAAAATTGCAATTAAATTTCCACAACCTCTAACATTCACTTGGACAAATGTTTACGAGGTTGAATTGCGGATAACTATCAGAAAATAAAAAAGTATTAAAAATATAGACAATTATGTTATTATAAAATTATACTAGATGTTTGGCCCAGGCAGATGCATGGACGCTCCATCTACTTTAATTTTGTGTTAATAGATAAATGAATTTTTGATTTAGAAAAAATAAAATAGTTATACATTTATTTTTTCCCTTTTTTAGCCAAAAATAAAAATTAAAAAAAAATCATCTGCAAAAGGAGAAAAAAATATTGAAAAGTACACCGATGCAGAAATCATACAAAAGAATGTGGAGTAATAAAAGGGATAAGTTTATGGACAAATTTAAATCCTATCTTAATTTGATTGATAAATGATAAGTGTTAGGAGTTAAAATTGTGTAGCTCTTTTGTAAATTAGTTTTTGTTTTTCCGGATAAGAAGTTTTTTTTTCTTTTAAAAAGAGATGACACGTGGCAGAATGGTTAAAGCAATATGGCGTATTTGGAGCCAAAATTTTTTAATAAGAAGTTGCCACATCAACATCCTGTATTCTGCTTTGATAGGGTAAGAGGGATGAATTTTATGATTTTTAACAAATAAAATACTGCCCTTCATAAAAAATATTTTACGGTTATACTTCTTTTATTAATTTAACATGTTCTACTGCCCTTTAAACAAATTTTTCCTTTTCTTAAAAAAGAAAATATTGTATCCATTTGTAGTATTGAAGTAAGTATGGAGGGAGTATAACATTTTATGGTGTCAATTGACTTCCAACATAACTAATGGAAGTTCTTCATTTCTTTTCCTTTTTTGTTTTTCTACAAAATTCCCACATCAAAATGGAAGAATATGGAAACCATACTCAAGAATCACCATTGAGGGCATTCCATTTTTAAGAGAATTCCAGTAAGAAGAGCCAATAAAGGACAACCAAAGAGACACAACCCATCATCTTCAACAATATTTCCAACTCCAGAAATGCTCTAAAATCTCTTTGATCCAACAAAACCTGCGCCGGCTTTTTACTTCTTTTCTTTTCGGGTAAAAGGGCTGATGAATGACCATAACCTAACTTTTATACAGCATGATTACCCTGTTTGTCACATCATACCTAAACTTTAAAGTCCATGAACAAAGTTCCAAGTCAAACCATTTAATAATCCTACTAATGGTACACTACACAACATGTACAGAGAAATGAATGCCCTGTGAGACAGGCAAGCAATTGCATTGCCAAATAAGAGGGCGGAAAAAATGGTGGATTCCACCGATTTATGGACAAGCTCATTCAGAGTCCTACAGATCTTGATCTTATTCCAAGATAGAATGTGAATCTGTCTAGTATACCAAGCTAACTATAAAATTTAGCTCCAATGAAATCAGACCAAAATTGGTTGTAATGTTTTGTAGATACAGCAGTCCAAAGAAGCCAAGAGTATGAACCGGCCTGATGCACAAAACGAGTGCTAGAATGCTGTACCTTCTTGGAACTTCTTCTGACAGCGACAAGCCGGACATGAATGGGCATCTCTAATGCCTCTTCATTTCCTTGAAAATATTTGATACCTTCGGGGATAATCTTGGCAAGAACTTGAACAACTGACAAATAAAAGAAAGATCGATCTATGAACAAAACACTTGGATACATGGTGAAAGAATATTCAGTCATTCAAAAGGATCCAAACATAATGACGCCAAAAGATGCTAGGTATCATTTTGTGTTATCGAAGTACAACAATCCATAGAGAAATAGGAGACGAACTATGTATACATGATATGATGAAATGAGCCACATGGAAAATTCTATAGTATCTTTGTTTCTCAGAGACTGCGAGCTAGTGAGATTTTCAACATTGGTTGTAGGGGTGCTATTTTTTCAAAAGCTAACAAGTTTGTATTACTCTTAAATAAGTAAAAGATACTATCGAATTAGCTTAAATAAGCCATAGATGACATGAGTACTTCACATTTACTCAATTAGCTTAAGAAGAAAACAGATCCCAAGAAAGAAATTGCGCCTGTCTCAGAAAATTATTTTACTAAGCACCCAGACAACCCAACCAAATCAAAGGTCTAAAGATGATCCTCAACCAAAAGTTCTGAAAGTATTGGATGGGAGCTAAGAAGCACTGTTCTACTCTGTTACTTATTAGTTGTATTAAACTACTTACGTACTTGGAGTTACTTGATCTAAAGGACGTGCATTAAATGTGAGAAGCAAGCTATGCAAAGGAAAGGCAGGAAAATAAAACAAGTATCAAAGGATCATCAAGTAGTTGTTCTTTATTTCTTATCCAGAGCAGACATCTGAACCCCCAAAAAAAAAAAAAAAAAAATTCTACATTAAAGGTTGATTGGAGAAAACATACCCAGAGCTTAACACATGCATCAATAATAACTGGGAAAAGGCATATAAAAATTGTTATGGCAGCCTCATCAACTTCCAATCCATAATGCTCCACTATTATCTCACACAATGTCTGCCAACCAGATTCTGAATGATACCTGCAGGTCGGGATGCCGCCAAAAAGAACATCGGTATCAAACAAATAATGAAACCTTTTGAAACAAATTAAAAATTGTCCACTCGAGTACTAAGGTTTTGACTATAAGTACATATCCAAATATACATTCAAGTTCAGTAAGGAACGACTTCATAAGAGACATAACCATTGAGAAAAGGAGAGCACAATGTATTACCCTAGAAAGATATCAGTAATGAGTATGATTAGAAATGCCTTCCCCGTGTCTGAAACATTATTTATAATCTTGTAGCCTGCAAATTTGAGCAAAGCTACCTGCGCAATTATCATAGAAACATATAAGATGGTTGCTGTTTGCCAGAAAACAAAAGGAGTTGGAGATGCATGTCAATTTCCACTTTCAGAATCTCAAGTAATACGTACTCATTAAATGAGAAACAAATAGCATTCCTACCATCGTAGTTAAGCACAATACAGAAACAAAGAACACTCTTAAGATAATTTATTCTGCAACTTTACTATTCCACATCCAATCAGGAAATAATACTTAAAAATCACTTCAATACTAGTTTATGAAAATTTTGAATTTCTTTTCTTCTGTAACATTGTTATTGGTTTGAATAAATAAATAAGTAAATTATATTTTAAGGCATAATCCTCTCAGATTTGAGCTATGAGTATGGTATCAGGTAAGTCTAGGTAACATGTCGATGTAGCAGATCTATCGATATACAGCATAGTTCATGAAACAACCAACTACAGAACACAAGTCCGGAAAAAAACGGATTATCTTCTGGTGAAAAAGCATAGAGCAAATGCAGAAAAAGAGTGAAGACTTCACAAACATATCACAATAAATGTTCAAAGCATAACTAGCAAACTAACAATGCAGAAAGCCAACATAAAACCAAAAAGAATGAAACAGTACTTACTTTACTTTGATTGAAGTACAAAAGAATAAATAATGACGTCCCAAAAACAATATCCGACCAAATATTTGCAAAAGCTCTACGATTCTCAAGCCTGCGTTCATCTCGCAATTCTACTCTGTTAGATCAAAGATAAAGAAAACCATTAACGAACAATCGATCCAATAAACCTTAAGTCCGAGAATTAGCTAATTAACTTTCAGATAACATGATGAAGAAGATGTCATTAGAATGGTCATGACCCAGTTTTACCTTTTTATATATATATATATATATATATATATGCATGTCCATCTTTCTGGAATATCTGATAAAAACTACAACAAAAAAAAGTGATTGCGCAAGAAATTTCACCTTATCACGTTTGCGCCAACACAATCTTTGGCTACTAGTAACATTAAAGTTGACCTAATAAACAGTATGCAAGTTACAGGCCAAGTAATATTTTATTGGTGAAAGAAAAACAAGAATAGCAGTTTAGCATTTATCCTGTCAACTCCTGATATTCCACTAGGTTCACTATGATTTTAAGTACATCTTGTGAAATTGATGACACATATCCCTGTTAATATGACAAACCTAACCACCGATAAGTTCACTTCTATAAACTGAACTTTCATGATGATTATCCAGAGAAATTTGATGAGCACGGTGATCTTTTATCTTTTCTGATTTGCTGATACAACTGATTCAGGATAGGAGGCATAGATTTCAGGATAAATTATACAGTATAGACATTGACAAGGTCACAAGTGTGCGGAACAAAGGTACCAAGCCTACCAAATGAAAATAAATATACAAGCATGATATTGAAGTATCATATCTAAGTACTTTTAAACTTATTGGATCACAAATTGGCAAGATATTGCTCACTAGAATGTTCAGTAACGACTTAATTATGAAGGGTCACTTGCCCTAAACACATCAAAATCACTATTGTGGCTGTGGTAACCTGCCGTTCTTTACCCCGTTACCACGAATCAATCTAAGTGCTTCTAAACTTATTGTGATCACAAATTGGCAAGATATTGCTCACTAGAATGTTCAGTCACGACTTTATTACGAACGGTCACTTGCCCTAAACACATCAAAATCACTATTGTGGCTGTGGTAACTGGCCGTTCTTTACTCCGTAACCACGAATCAATCTAAGAGCTTCTAAACCTATTGGATCACAAATTGGCAAGATATTGCTCATTAGAATGTTCAGTCACGACTTAATTACGATGGCTCACTTGCCCTAAGCACATCAAAATCACTATTGTGGCTGTGGTAACCTGCCATTCTTTACTCTGTAACCATGAGTCAAATGCCAATTATGACTTGCACATGAACAGTATATATAAAAAGCTCACTAAGTCTAAATTACTAGATTGTGCATTAAGCTTGCTAGAGAACAAACAAGCCAGAAAAGAAGGATAGGATCATTGGAGAATCTTTAGATTCTCTACAAGGACTTCTAGGGATCCAGAGGGGGAATGATATGCAACTGACTACTGTTGATGCAATAAGTGCGGAAAGAGTTTACTCAACTGCGGCATTTTGAGAGATTCTGAAAACTAGCATATTACCATAGTCTACAAGCGACTTAAATCCTAAATGAAGATCACATAAAATGTTAGACAAAGTGTTTGTGACCAAATTACTAACTAAGAAGTGGTTATAATGGCCTCAACGGTTATTAAAGGAAAAGAAAAAGAACCAAAAGGAGTATAGTTTGTCCTTTTTTCTAGTGTGCACCATTGGAGGATATGATTTGTAGAAGCAGAACAAGCAATAAAAGGTAAGTTTGATATCTGTAGGAGGATAGCAAAACTATCATTTTACATGGTCACATAGTAGCGCAGACAGTTTGATAAAAGCCCTACAAGTGTAACTTTTCTCAGAGTAAGCAACCTTTCACGAGGTTTCGGGAAATCAGTTTTCTTAGCTACTTTAAACCACATTGTTTCAACCAAAAAAAAAAAAAAAAAACACATTGTTTCTGAAATTGAAATTTCATTCATATCAACAGAGTGGTCTAAAGTTTATTCAATAATTAAAGTGATTGAATCTCATATGAGGTGCAGAATAAACAATAAACATCCTGAACTCAATCTTACGTTTTATGGTGCAACTCCATCCACAGCTCTTTATCAGAGAGAGGCGGGGACTTGCCGATATCTACTTCGAGCCTATACCGTGCTTTTGCGAGTTTTATTTCCTCAACAATTTCAAGCTTCTGATTTGTTCGTACATCAAGCATCTGGGCTGCAAGAGGTACTGTCTTGACATACCTGTTGAGTACAAAATAGTCAATCACCTATCATCTGGATTTTCAAAATAGAACAGAACACCAAGTTCATTCAAAATTTATATTGAAGACATTATACTTAGTCACCTGTTTTATGAGCTTAAAGGGTGTCATAAAGACATGAAACACTGTTGACCCAGTTACTAGTTATTTCCTAAAGCTACAATCATACACAAACTGAAAGAAAACAACTAAAAATTCGTATAAAAAAGCCTTGAGACATGAAGAGATGAAAATTATTAAAAAAAAAAAAAGGAAGAGCAAACCTTGAAAGGAAAAGGTAATAGCAAACGTCAGTGTCTTTGTCAAATGAAAGGAGTGAAGTAAAAACGTTTTCCCAAGCCAAGTGTGTTTATTAGAGGTAAAAGTAAGAATATACTGAAAAATGTCTAACCAGGCAGAATCTCAAGGGAACTTATAAAGGGCAATGAATGAGATAATTCCTATACCTTGCATAACAAAACTGCAAGTGCTATCATATAAATTCAGTCGGCGGTAGACAGCAGAAAAGATTAAATATGTGATTTATAGAAACTAATCTAAACAATCTTCAGAGCAGAATCACAGGGAACTTTTGATAATGAACAATGAAAATCCCTTTTCCTAGTAAAACAAGGCGTAATCATACACATTCAGTCTTGAAGAACAGAAAAAATCAAGTGAGGATTCTGCTACAAAGGAGGGCATTCAATTGCTTTAACTTGCACCTCTCAAACATAGTTTGTGAAACATTTTGTCACCCTCATTAGTAAACATATAAACACATCCGGACTCTCAAAAAATCAAGCAAAAAATGTTTTTTCTAGGTGGATTTTATGGAGTATACAAGCTATAATGCTTTCATATATGCTAACCTGTCCAGAAATGGCATGAGGATAAAGTCGTGAACCAAAAAATCCAAAGTGCACGGAACTATAATCAATACCGCCAAAAATTTAGCCTGAACAGAAGAAACATCGAAATATGAAATTTGGTCGAAAAGTGAAAGAACCAACATTATATGAAAAAGTTAACATGGGATACCAAATGCAAAGTAGCAGAAACCATGAGAAGGCATGTGACATCTAAATGACTTCTATCAGAAATAGAATATGTTAAAAAGGAAGCTTCTATTGGGCCTTTGACCTCTGGACATAGCTCCAGGCTTGAAACCTACCTTCTGACAATTAACTGATTAGTGGCTAGTTCTATAACTCCAGGTGTTTTCAAATTTCAAGCCACTTAAGGACGGATAATCAAGGAATGGAAGTTCAGAAAAATTGCTTGGAGGAGTGCAATTACAATTGTTTTAACTTGCAACTCTCAAAATATCCATCAAGGTTAACAGAGTTGGTCTAAGACTCCATAGAATACATGAAGAAACTTAATTCCTGGATTGAAATAATTACCAGCATTGTGAAAAAAATATATATTCTCAGCATTAATAATTCCCTAGTTCAGTTCTTCTTGTGAGTTTTTCTTTATCCTGTTAATTGGCATAGATAGTATCTGCCTGTAGACTGAGACTAAGAGTACTGAAACAATACTAATAGACAAAGGATACAAAGATGAACGACCAAGGAAAACAATCACAAATTCGATTAAGCAAAACAATGCGATAAACGACCAAGGAAGATATTTAACAATATCAAAAATAGACCAACCGAATTAAATGAGGCGTAACGGAAAACACGATCCTCGTAGAGAATGTCATCCTCCTTCTCGCCAAGAATTGCATCTTTCACTGACTTCACTAAACCACCCCTAGGAATTATGCCAATAGGATCTTCCCTGACTTCATCCACAGCCTTCCCAACTGCACCATTTGAGCTACCCATCCAAGATGAAGAACCATTGACAGACTCCTCTGTGTCATGCACAATCCAATCCTCCCACCTCCTATTCTCCTCATTCCTTGCATCCTCCTGCGCTTCCCTCAACTCAATAATTGCCTCAGCTCGCCTTTTCCACGCCTCGAACTTTTCATCCTCCGACAACTCCTCACCGCTTGAATCCTCGGATTCCACCGCATCATCTTCAAGCATATCCTCCTCCTTCAAACCAAGCCAATTCCCATCATCATCAAGAAAGAACCTCTGCCACCAGCTCCTCTCCCTCTTTGGATGCTTCTTCTTAGCTTTTGGCACCAACCCACGAAATTTTCTCCGAGGTGAACTGAAATGGACCAACCCACTTGACAAAAAGTGCGAATTCAGAGGAATCCTACTGGCATTTGAATTGGAAAAGACAAAGCTTTCGCAGAAGACCATTGAAGTGCTCATTAAGGTCATGTAGACAAAAACCCAACATTTTTCAGCCTCATACAAGCACAAAGTTGCAATCTTGCTCAAGAAACTTTGCAAATGAACCAAAAGAAAGCATTGAAATGATCAAATGTATAGAACCCACAAACACATTATCACATGCTATCAAAAGCAGTACATGGGAAACCAAATACTCTATAAATAGACAAAATCTGAATAATAAGTTCAGAATGGATAGCAGAAACTAGAAGCTACAGATTTTGAAGTGGACTGGACTGTTAGTTTAGAGGGTCTCCATGGGTCCGACTATGTTGAGCAATGGAGACTGGAGAGGATAACGGTATTTGGTTCTATGCTGTTTAGATAAACCATTTGTGGCTATTTGGCAGTTTTACCCTTTCAGATCAAAAGATTGCTTTATATTGAAGGAGAAAAAAAAGGAATAAATCAGCAAAGAATCTCAGTGGCAAAGGCAGGGTGAATTCGTCCACTCAGAAAACAGTTCATTTTGCTGTTTTTATCAGCATTTGCCATCTTTACAAGAAAATACCAATTTCAACCCCTCATATTTGAATCTGTGATACAAAATCCCTTTTGTTTCAACCATTTCACAATCAGTCAGTGACATTTTCTTGGACCATTTAACTTTTCTTAAAAAAAAAAAAAAACTAAAATTTGTCCATGAGTAATAAGAATGAACCTTATATGGATAGTGCTTAATTTGAATGATACTCGAAGCATGAAAGCAATTGTCATGATAATAGCTAATACAAGGTAGAGTGTATTTTAGCAATGCCGAAAACATTACATATTTATATGTTTAATTAAAATACTTTTTTTATTATAAGAAAAACATATAGCTCGCGTATCAAGTGTACTACAAAATAAATTTTGTAAATTGTACTTTTTTCTACTCCATATTTTTTTTTTCACTTCACATTTTCCTTTCAATTATCATTACGACAACTCCAGTGATCGTTTATGTTTAAATGTTAATCCATTAACCAATAATGAATAAAAAATAATTATTATACTATCCCAACTTTGCATGTCTAAACGTAAAAAAAAAGTATACAGGTGGTGGAGCTATCTTTTTGAATTAATGACAAAAGAAAAAAAAATCAAGATTCAACAAATTATGTGGCATCAATATGACTATAAGTCCACTTATTCTTACTGAGGTAAATCCAGTGGAGTTGCTCTAAGAGCATCCACAGTGTTGTGTAAAAATGCTCTCTTCTGTATGTTATGCGACTTTTTCTGGAAAAAAAAATGTGAGTCAGAGGTGGATCGCTTGATATAAATGTATCCAATGCTAATTCTTATGAGACCATGGTAACGCTATTGGGTAAAAAAATTGAAAAACATGTGATCCCGTTACAATGTACCCATGTCCAAGTTGGGACCACCTTTTTTACTTAAACGAGTAAAAGCGTTGAGGATGTTCTAATAAGTTTATGATTTTTTAAAATGGTATGTTTCCTAAGGGTTCTTGACTAATTTTTTTTTTTTTTTTCTTTTGGTCTTTTTTTGCTCCTCAACATACCAAAAGAAGACCAACACTTGCCCAAAGTGATACGGCGTGTTGGTTCTCTTAAGCGAGTCGGGTTCGAGTTTCGTCAATGGAAAGAGTAATATTAGGAGAGCTTTCACTCCAAAAAGGAGATGGACTCAGCTCGATGCAGATTAGTCTGAGTGAAATGCACTTAGGACACCGTGCGCAATATGAAAAAAAAAAAAAACCAGAAAAAGGGGGAAATGAAAAATGAAAAGCAGAGTAGCTACACAAATAATTTGCTCAAACTTTAGGGCCTCATTAACTACTTATCCAAAACATAAGATTAAACATCGGTAAAATGGAAAAATTAATGGCCCATAAAAGTAAATAATTGATCCTTCACAAATTCCCGTCGCCGTTTGGAAAGTCAGCCGGGGGGTTTTAAGAATTTCTTCAGTCAATTGAACTAGGGTTTAGCTCGGAGAGTTGAATTTGGGAGGGGAAAATGAAGCCGGTGGTGGGGATGGTGGTGTCGAACAAGATGCAGAAATCGGTGGTGGTGGCGGTGGACAGACTCTTCCACCACAAGGTCTACAATCGCTACGTTAGACGGACTTCTAAATTCATGGCTCACGACGAAAACAATGAATGTAACATCGGCGACCGGGTAATGATTAACCCCATATTTCTAACGAATCCTATCGATTTCTTGTTTAGAAGTTCTGTGTAGATGCAATTTTGAGCTCTGCGTGCGTGAATTTTCATGTTATCTTGGCTTCCTACTTAGTTTTGGAATTTTTCCAATGTTGTCGAGGTTCTAGAGTATATATGCTTGCATTGTGAATTTTCTCATATTTCAGAGAGTAATGAGCTGTTGTTGGGTTAGGGTCAACTCTGATTATTTGCGGTGGTTCAACAGGTTAAACTGAATCCTTCTAGGCCAATAAGCAAGCATAAGAACTGGATTGTGGCTGAGATTTTGAAGAAGGCTAGGATATACACACCTCAATCATCAACGGCTAGTGCTCCCGGCCAGACGAATTTATCGTCATCTGCTAGCTCAGGGAGCACCACCCCTCCGTCATCCACTTGAAAAAGGTCTCTGATTAATGTTTCTCTTTTCCCTTTTTCTAGTTGTTCAGAGTTATGAAAAAATTCCGTGTTTTTTGTGACATTCGAATGCGTTCAACTTGATTTCTATAGGAAAAGTTGCTGAACGTATGATTATGATTTGACTTAGAAGAAACTTTGAAGCCAAATTGATCATTTTAACCATCTCCCTTGTCCTATTTCCAGTGTTTTGGATTGCATCAGAGCCCTCTATTTCACTGCTTCTCTGGTTCTCCAGAGGAGTATAATTAGTGCTGAATGCCTTTTAAATTTTAATCTATTTCATGGGTGAACCCTTGTTTCCATTTCGTGTAATCCATGCCTGCCTTTAAATAATTGGTACTTCCAAATAACTTGATGACTAAAGTTGATTCATGTGTTAATTGTACTTGGACGTGACACCAATTTTCCAACAACAGGAAGTCCGACTTCATTTTCTTTATCTTGCTCAAAACTATTCGGATGAGACACATTTAGGGTACCAAATTCCAACTATTAACAACCAGATTAAGCATATGTACACAAAGTCTGATTCAAATATCCTTTTTCATTTGAATACAGTTGTTATTGATCGATAGTTACTGGTTACAAACCGAAATGAATCTTCTAACAAGACAAGCTCTTTTGTTGCTTCCATCCTTGTCTATTTTCTCTTATAGTGAATGCATTAAGCACGTGGCAATTCAGGGCTTTACCTGTTTGTATTATTTGAGCATTATCAATCAATATATGTCCGCTTAAATATGTTATTTTGCAACTAGAACAAGTTTGATTTCATTTAAATGCTTCTTTTTATGTGTGTACATTGGAATTGTAGCCTTTCAGAGTAATGTAGAGCCTAAAAGTGGTTCACGTTTTGCCAGGTGAAGCTGTGGCAAGTTTTCGCTCCTGCTTGTGCAAAGTTCTGTTGTCTTAACTGCTGTGTGCTGATTTCTCATTTCATAATCGGGGTTCAGGAAGAGTATTATTTATTGTATCTTGAGTCTCTTTTCAGTTACTTCAGAAATAGTTGGCAGTTTCAAATAGAATATCTTGTGTACCAGACGAGTGAAAAATTTTTACTGTTAAGCTGCCTTCATCTCTTACTACCAATACTATTTGGAAGTTTTATGATCCATCCTTCATTATCATACAACCTGGTGCATTTATGGTGTCATGATCATGTAGTCTTCCTATTGATGCATCAACACTGAAACTTTCTCATTGTACTGAGCAATGAAAGAAACCCCAAGGCTACGTTCAAATGTGATCTTCTAATAGAAAACAGCATCTTTGCAACAGTCTCTCACGTCACAGGATTGTTAAATTTGTCTGCAAAAGTTTTGAAATAAGTATATGTAGCCCAAGAGGTAAATGATTGACATAAGAGAAACCCAATCAGACGGTTTTGACTTTTGTTTTATTTTATTTTATTTTTTGGGAAGGAAATGACCTTACTGGAAGAATTCAGTAAATTTTATTTCGGTTTCAAATGAATAATCATATCCATTACTGACATCAAAATGACTCAGTTAGGTTTGTCTCTTGCTGTAAATAATTACCCCCTCCAATGTTTCTTGTAATATGTATTGTTCCCTGCATTTTGCTGATAGCAATACAGTGAAATTTGAAGTTAAAATTTTCCAATGTGCAATATCTTCGAGGATGCTATTTCAATGTGCATTCAGATTAGTGATTGTTAACTCAGCTCATGGAAAATTTATGCTGAGGAGCATGTTCATGAAGAATGAACATCCATATAAAAAGATTACTGTCAGTGTGATGCTTGTTGGCAAACTAGCAGATGGACTCTTTTTGTGGAGTGGAGGGAGAATAAGATAGTATTAAGTAGGTTTTCTTCTAGATTACTACATCCAGTACACATTTTAGTTGATCAGAAACCTCATTGAGAAGGAGTCTTTTGCATTGCGAGGATGACTATATAGCACAATGAATCCCTCAGTCATTCCCCTCTTCCCTCTTTCTTCTTATGTGCTTGTGCAAGTTCATGCTCCCTCCGCCCTGACATGCATGATTGTCGATTTTGAATTTTCACTCAGAGAAGTATATGATTGCATATTGCATAATATTAAGAAACATGATATTTTTTTCCACTACATTTTGATTTAGCAACCACCGGTAGAAAGTTACATGCTTTTATAGCACCTCTAACAGGTTTCCCGTAAACTGATTCCCCCATAAAATGAGTTCATGTAACTTCGAGCAGTTCTTCAAGCTCCGAGGAATCGGACCTCTTAGCATGTTGCTCCCCAATGAGATGTTTCGAAGAGATCCACCATGGCATATCTCATCGGGTAAAGAACCCGACAAGTAATTGTCATCCATTATTAAAGAGGTCAGCTTAGGCAGAGTAAATAGCTCTCTAGGGATTGAACCAAATATGTTGTTTCCCCAAATTTTTAGATACTGCAAATTACTCAAATTACCCAATGTAGGAATCGAACCAGTTAACTGATTTTGTGATAACTCTAAATTGTAAATGAACTGCAGGTCTCCCATCTCCTTCGGAATTAAACCGCTTAATTTGTTGCCATACAAGTGCAACAATTCCAGGCTGGTGAGATTGCCTAGTGATGTCGGGAGTGAACCGCTCAACTCATTGCCAAATATGCTTAGACTACGAAGTCTGGTTAGTTTACCAAACTCGGTAGGAATGTGACCAGAGAGGTCATTTCTGTAGAAAAACATTTCTTCTAATTTACTCAAGTTCCCTAAAGAAGGGGGGATTGAACCCGTAAAATTGTTTGTATCCATGTAGAGAATAACATGGTTGTGAAGATTTACTAATTTTGGAGGAATATGACCTGAGAGTAGATTTTCGTAGAGACCTAAGTATTTCAAGCTTTTCAAATCAAGGAAGAAGGAACATAGCCTTCAAGATGGTTAGTACCCAAATCAAGATACATGAGCTTGGAGGGGTTGTAGTAGCCTATCTCTGACGGTATGTTGCCAGAAAGATGGTTTACGCTAAGATCAAGATACTCAAGATTAGGGAGTGATGAAAAGGGGAAGACGTTAAGTGTACCGTCTATATTCGAGTTTGATAGATTTAACCTGTTGATACTTGCATTAATGCATGAGATCCCATACAAGTGAATGCAAGGGCTGGAAATTCGGTTGGGAAGATGCGAAGAATTGGAATCATTTGTCGCAGGGGGCTCGAGATGCCATGAAGCCAGTAAGGGGTTATTCTGATTCAGTAAACTAGCTTTCCATTTGAGAAGGGCATCTGATTCTTCTTTAGCCCAAGAAGATGGAGCTCCTTGGATGCAAATAGGTAAGAACAAAACAAAAACAACCAAATCATGAAACATGAGTGTGATGATGAAAAATGACCGTTCAAGTCCTCATGGTGTTCAGCTCAGCTGCTCAGGGATACACACACACACACACACACATATATATATATATATATATTAATTATGAACATGTAATTTTTGACAGTTTGATGCATAGAGAGAAGGAGATGAATCTCTTTTTTAAAATAGCTTTAACACAATACTTTTTGTTTTTCCAAACCTCGCCACTACGAAGTAAATGGTCAAAAAGGTAACATCACTTTCCATCGTAGCGGAAAACGTTGTCAATTTTTTGGCCGCCTGATTAATGACCCGATTCACACTCCTTTCTTTGCAGGACCCTTAATTTATCACAGTTGTGGAAAGAATTTGGATGTTTAGTTAGTGATTTAGGTAGACCTTTTGAATCTTCCAAGCATGTTACTACTTTGTTGGGATGTTAAATTTCTTTCTCCATCTTTTAATTAACGATTATAGTTCATGTGGAAATTTTTATTATCCTACTTCACGTGCTCAGTATATGCTGCTACGAAACAATAAGGTGATCAGAGAAGATATCTATAATACTTAATTAAAGCAGCAAACAAAAAGGACATGTGTCAGTACTACAATGAAAATTTTTCCGCCAAAGGCCATTTTCAGTACAAAATCATTTTTGACAAGTGGCACTCGAACTAATCAGAAAAAAAATAAAATAGATAAATACATAAATCCCTTAATTATAGCTACATAAAAATCTCTTAATTATAGGTGTATACTAATCTCTTGAAATAATAATATTTAATTAATAAAATCAAATGTAAGGAAATCTCCTTAAATCAAGTGAAACACAATAATGTCTTCCCAATCCCCAATTTCAAAGAATATCTTCCATTCCACTCCTTTCTCACACCCGGGCCTTTAAATCAATTACGTAAAATCTGACATTAATTATCAATCCATCTATTTCTACAACAGAGAAAAAATAAGCTGTAATGAAAAAAATTTGATTTTTTAAGGATGATCTTTTTTTATTCTTATGTTGTAGATATTGGTTTATGATTTATGTAAACCCGGGCATAAGTTAAATGTTGTAAATTAAATGTTATAAATCTGCACATAGATTTATGTACAATAACTCACTTTTTGTCCTTTCAATCCATTTTTTATTCTTCTATTTTTTAAATTTTTTTAAAGAATGATTCGTATTTTTTATTTAATCGATTTAAAAATACAGGCAGTACCCCGGGCATTCGCCCGGGGCAAGCATCTAATTACATATTATTACTGTATTATGATGGATGGTGAGGTTACTTAGGTTGTGTTTGATAATCACTTAAGAATGAACCATAAAATAAGTTATTGAATTATTAGATAATTTGATCACAAGTCATCAATCAAATTTATTCCTAAAATCAGTCACTGGAAGTTATTGTGTTAATGTTGGCCGTTAAATAGTGACGGAAAGTTATTTTTCATATGCTTTTGGATTCATGGGTATTTTCATCATTTTATATTTTTTAATTTTTAATTTTTTTTACAATTAACACTTCTAACTTGTATATGTTTATACTAGTATACTTATTAATTTCAAAAATCAATTCACCTTTTATATTTTAAGTTCTAGACTATAAATTTTTTTTAATAAATAAAGATAATGAAGAGAGAAATTTGAGTTAAAATAAACATGAAAATTAATAGTTTACCATTTTAGACTCCAAAAAATTTAAATAAGCTAAGAAAAGTTGTTTCTTCTAGGTTATTTAATTATTTTCCACTCAAATTTAATTTTTTGATTTATTAATTGTCATGTTTACTTCAATTTGAATTTTTCTTCTTAATTGTTTTTAAAAAATTATGATCTAGAAGTTAAATAAAAAAGGTAAATTAATTTTTAAAATTTAAATTTTTGAATTTAAATTTTTTTATATATTTATTTTTTTAAATATATAATTTAGGAATTATAAAAAAACAATTGTAAAAAAAATTAAAATTAAAATTTTTAAGGAAAAAATAACAAAAATACCTCAAGACCTAAAAATATGTGAAAAATAGCTTTCCGTCACGATTTTATGCCAACATAACCAAGAAGATACGACTTGTCTAAACTGATTGTTTTATTATTATTATTTTTTTGGTAGTAGACTATTAATTTTCATGTTTACTTCAACTCGAATTTTTCTTATTCATTTTCTTTGTTTTTTTTTTTTAAAGTATAAATCTAGAAGTTAAACTACAAAAGATAAATTAATTGATAAAATTTAATAATTACACTAGTATATACAAGTTAGGAAGTATAAATAAAAGAATTATAAAAAAATTAAAAATTAAAAAAAAAAACAAAATGACGAAAAAACACATGAACCCAAAATCATGTGAAAAATAACGTTATGTTACTATTTAACGGCCAAAATTAATAGAATGACGTCGGACGGATTTTTGGCTTAGTACTGTGACCAGTTTTAGAAATAAATTTGATTGATGACATGTGATGAAGTTACCCAATAATTTAATTACATGTTTTGTGGTTCACTATAATATTTTAAGTACTTAATAATATTAAATGTATTTGATAGTTAGTACTGAAAAGTCTTTGTGAGTTAAGTGTTAAATTAATTAAGTACTTATAAAAGGATGTTTGATAACTAAAATTGCATTGTCTTAATTAATTAAATAGGCATAATTTTTCAGTCAGTTGTAAGCTAAAACATAAGTGATAATTTCACTAGTTATCACTTATCATTGAACAATTATTTTTTGTAACAAATTTTGTTTCTTCATTTTTTTTCTCCTATCTTTGCTTTGAAATGGTTTTTATTTTTAAATGAAGGCCTCAAATTTGAACTTAAATTATGAGTATAAACAACATCAAACTTGTAAATTCAACATAAACTAATTTTTATATATGAATTTTATTAAATTACAAGATATCCATATACGTTGATATATGCATATAATTTAAATTTCTTGCCTTAATTATCAACATAGTATAATATCTAATTTCGTTATATATATGTATATTCAAAAAATTCATTTCAAAATTAATATTTTGTTATTTAGGAAATTATGAAAAAAGAATTTGTTGAACAAATCTTTTATAATTTTGAATTTTTTTTTTTTTGGTAAAACTGTGAATTTGTATTACTTGCAAGAAATAATTACATCAGGATTGTCTATTACATTTCTTTGTACAATTGATCATTCATCTATCAAAATCTAAACTGGAATGCAAAGATTATTCAAGAATCGGATATCATCATTGCTACCTTTCCTGGAATGATACTGAATGTTCCATGCCACTTCTTTTTTTATGCCAATCAGATGATCCTGCACTGTCATCTCCTTTTTGCTGAATTTTCTAAGGACTGCCTCTGTGTTTCACTTTCCTAAATCTCCATAACTTCAGCAACCTATTAATTCCATTTCTGAATAAGTTCAAACGTATTTTCAATCCCAGCCAGTCCATTGAAGCTTGCAAAAGTTGCTGATAATAAGGGAAACTAAAAAACAGATGATCTGTATTCTCGTAAGAGGCAGTACAAAGCTCACACTTTTTTGGACCTTTCAGCAGTTGCAGATGTTGCATTCTGTCCTGAGTAAAGAGCCTATCCTTCATAGCAATCCATGAGATGAAGCAATATTTCTTGATATTGTAAGTACTCCAAACTATTTTAGCAGTCCTGCACTTTCTGTAAGCTCCAGTAAGCCATTTATGGCCTTCTTTAGCTGAATAATCCTTCCCTGCTGACCCATTCTACTTTCCATTCGAAACACCATCTTTAAGTTTTTCTTTTACTTGCAACAACTTTTTCCAGTGCCATCCACAGTCATTAGGTGCTTCATAGTTCCAGATGGATTTACCTTTTAAGTAGTAAGCATGTATCCAACTTATCCAGAGGCTTTCCTTCTTCTTGGCACTATCCCAGAGCTGTTTTCCAGCCAAAGCCTGATTCCTTAACCCAGGATCCTTTATGTGGAGACCTCCCTCAGATTTGCTTTTACAGACTTCTCCCCATGTAACTAAGGACCAGGACCCTGCCAATGTCTTTTTTGTCCCATAAGAACTCTCTTCAATGTCTCTCAATCCGTCGTATCATTAACTTTGGAAGCAAAAAGATTCCAGCCCAGTAAGAGTAAAGATTTGGAAGCACTGCATTTACAAGAACTAGTCTTCCTGCATAAGAGAGATGCTGGGAAGACCAGCATTTCATCTGGCCAACAATTTTTCAACCACAGTCTGACAGTCAATATAAGTCCAAGCAGTGGCAGAAATAGGGACACCAAGGTATCTGATTGGAAAGCATCCTGCATGAAATCCTATAACTTGCAAAATCTGATCTTGTACCTCTACATTAGTTCCCCCGAAGTAAATGTCTGACTTCTGTAGGTTTACAGTTAGTCCTGTAGTATTTTCAAACTCCACTAATGCATTCTTAATCAACTTCACAGTAGGCAAATCAGCTTGGCAGACAATAATTAAGTCATTTGCGAAACTAAGGCTAACTATTTTGAGCTTATTGCTGAATGGATGGAATCGAAACTCTTCTTGTTCTGTGGCCTGTTTTAGCAGTTTAGTCAAGTAATCCATGACCATTACGAATAGTAGTGGTGACATGGGATTATCCTGCCGAAGACCACATTTCCCAGGGAAGTATCCGACACTTTCGCCATTTAGGTTTAAGAAGTAGCTAGGGGAGCTGATGCATTCCATTATCCAGCCTGAGAATTTTGGAGGAAATCCTAGGTTGTTGAGCATTTCTTCAATGAAGGACCAGTGTATGGAATCAAAGGCCTTTTTAAGGTCTACTTTCATAAGACAGCTAGGTTTAGAGGATTTTCTTTTATAGAGCCGGACTAATTCTTGGGTCAAAAGGACATTGTGTAATATGGATCTATTTTGTATAAAAGCCCCTTGATTAGGATCTATAATATCAGGCATAAGCAGTCCTAATCTCTTGCTAATCAACTTAGTAATCACTTTATAAACTGTATTACAACAAGCTATCGGTCTATACTCTGTGGCATCTCTCGGATTAAGATTTTTTGGTATCAGGACTATTCTAGTGGCATTAATTTGTTTAAGTAGCTTCCCACTATGAAAGAATTCCAAAACAGCACTACAAACATCATCCCCTACAATGTCCCAAGCATGCCTATAAAAGCCACTATTATAACCGTCTGGCCCGATTTACTTATATCCATATCAAATAAAGTTTCTTTGATTTCAGTTTTAGTGAAATTTTTAACCAGGAGAATCTGCCGGTCTACAGTCAGTTTAATCTCTGATTTAAAAATTTCACTATTAACTGAAACCCTAATTCTATCTAGATTTTGATTTGGATCATATTAAAAATTAAATAAACATTCAAACATAATTATCCAAATACTGTTTTCTGTCTTAGCTTATAGCCTTTCAAAATTCAGATATTTTTATTAAATAATATAAATTCAGTCTTCAGATTTCACTATTAAGTGTTAAGTGTTCAAATTTCATATTTCAAACAGGGTCGTGAACGGAGTGGATCATAACCGGAGAAAAATATGTTTACTCAATAATTAAGTAACATCCATATCAAGAATAAACAAAATACCCTTTTTCATATTTTCAATGATAAAAACATGTATTAGAAATATTATTGAAATGAACCCTAATTAATTGCTATTTTATCTGTCTCAATTTTTTTTTTTTTTTTTTTGCTATTGGGGACGAGAGGAGGGTAGAATCACGTTTGGCCTATTGGGGTAATTTAAGAAAAATATGACTTTTTTTTTTTATTGATGTCTAATTGTTACATTGGTAATGTTCAAATGAAAATAGTTTATTTTTTATTGAACTAATATTCCTCATGTTCCCCAAAAAATAATTAACAATATTAAATTTTAAATTACAGTAAAAATAGTAATCCCTAATTAGATTATTTCTCTAGATCGAAGGGAGTATGCAATAAATAAAAGATACATGCAAGAGGTGTGTGTGTGTGGGTGGAGGGGGCATGCTTACAAATCTTAGTAAGAATGCAAAATGCAAGTTTCCGTAAGATTACGTAGTGGAAGAACCCAACTCAGAAGAACAAGAAGTAAGTCTCACTATGATAAACATCATTTTTATTTCTTTCATGGTGATTGATTGAGTGAATTTCTCCCTAATTCAAATTTAAGGATGAAATGAGTAATACACACACAAGGAGATCGAGAAGGCCAAAAATAAAGTATAAAAAATCGTTATTATTGGGGGAGTTTTGACCAGACATGTACCAATTTAAGTAGGGTGCCCGGTCAAACTCCACACGTGTTCCATACCCATTTGCTGAACTTGGAAACAGTACCAAGTTTGCCTGACGCTAGAAATTCCATACTAACAATTTGTGAAATCCAAGGAGGTGTTGGATATGAGATTAAGTAATTGGGTGAAAAAGGGTTCTAACATAGGCACAGTCAGAAGGAAAGCTAAGCAAACTGATGTAACAATTTGTTTCACCTCATATTGAGAATGCCAACAATTTGTTTCACCTCATATTCAAGGTTTCATGGATATTCGGATTGTTGCAATTGTAAGTGTCACCTCACTTTCTTTCTTAAGGTTATTTCGGAATACATACTTTGGTGTTCAATGAGAATGCAAACTCGAAACATTTAACAATATGGCAAATAGTGGTATTAGTAAGGGAGCAATGAGAATTAGAGATATCCTTGTATATGTGTGATACTTCTGGCGTCTCAAAATTATTGTCTAATTTGAATTTATTTTCAATAAAAATTGATATAGAATTGAAAATTCAAATTGGGTAATAATTTTAGGTATTAAAACTGAAAATCTAAACTGAACAATAATTTTGGGACACAAGGAGTAATTGTGTGCCAATTTTTTATCCATAGTCTCAATCAAATAGTGTTTTCTTTTTCTATTTGGTGTTGCTGATGTACATGCAACCGATTATTTTTTCAAGACATTAAGTTGTTGGTTTAACAAATTAATCAAAATACAGGATTAAGAAATTTAGTGTAGAGGATTAGCATCAAATTATGCAGCAGCTAGAGTAACTCTAGCTGGCTGGATACAAAAATGACTTTACATAATTGTAACGATGTAAAGATTTATTGATTGAGGATTATTGTGCAAAACAATAAGAATTAAGCTAATAATGATACACGCAGCCTCCAAGGAGTCAAGGTATGGGCTATCATTCACCATTTGGCAAACAAGGTGCAGCCACACAGTTCAGTTCAATAAGAACATCCTCGCAGGCAGGATCAAGAGCAGTACTGTTCTTGAACCCAATTGGATTAGCATATCGACAAGTTCCTTGGACACCGATATCCGTCAACGAAACTGCGGCCTTATCGCCATTTGTAAACGGCTTATTGCACTTGGTGTCCGGACTGCTCAGCGCAGAGACCTCGCAGATCTCATCTGCATGGTCACCGGCCACGTCGATGCTGTATCCTCCATCTTCATTGGTCACCCCTTTGACCTTCACGGTCACCGTATTATTGTCCCTTGCCCTACATTGAACTTGCACCTTTGCACCTATATATACACATGAAAAAATAACATTTAAATATTTATTATTAACAATTATTTTGAAATATTGAATTTTTTTTTTTAAAAAAAGAATATGACTATTATTTTGAAACGAATATATTGCCGGGTATAGGGTAGCTGAGACGGGTGTAGAATTCGAAGTTGCATGGATCGCAGTAGACTCCGCCATAAGCAGTGTAAACCTTATTCTTCTTTTCCTGGGCATGAGAATAGGTGGCAAAGGCCAAGAAGCAGAAAACAGACACAAGCATTAAGGCCTTTGCCATTTCTTTATGTTTTGTTATATTAGGGTTTTTTTCCCTGTTGTTTTGGTTCTTCTCTTGTTTTGTGTATCTACTGGGTTCTTTCGGATGGGATTGTGATTGTTTTTTTTAATATAGGAAATGGAGAAAGAATGTAAAGATGGGGTGGAGCGGCTGTTTCTCCATTTTCCCATTTTTTGGGGTGTACGATCATCATTTTTTGAGGTTCATTTGTGTCATTGTGTGTTCGTGAAAGAGGTATATATATATATATATATATATATATATACTAGTGATGTCTGGTTGCGCAATGCGCGACCCTGGCCCAATATATTTGTAGATCTTAGAAATATTTGTATCTGAAAAAAAATATTTTGTATTTGGCCCGATATATTTTAGAAATATTTGAAGAATTTTAGAAATGTTTTATTAGTGTGATGTTTGTATTTGGCAAAAAAATAAATTGTATTTGGCCCGGTACGTTTTAGAAATGTTTGAAGATTTTAGAAATATTTTATAAGTGTTACTTCTTAAATATAAATAAACTTGATCAAATATATGTCTTGAAGTAAATGATAGACAAAATATAAAAGCATCCTAATAAGTTTAAATATTAGTAAGATAATTTATTGATGTTCTCCATTGGTTGTGTCAAATCAATACTTAGTTTTGGAGATTTATAATAGCTTTAAAGTTAGCTTCCTCCAAAGGTTATACGCTTAATTGTTGAAACTATTTCTTCCAAAAGTTTATAGGTAGTAAAATATTAAAAATATGATTTTGAAACTGGTTAATTGTTGAAACTGGTTGATCACAAATATGAGAATGAAAATAATTGTAAATTTGCATAGGTTTCAAGATATAGCAAAAAAGAACTCACCTCACCATGGCAAATAAAAAAAAGAAGAAGTAAAAGATAGCCCATTAAAATTTGAGAGTTTTTATTTTTTTTCTGTAGATAAAAATGATGTATAAAAACACAAATAAACGTAGAACATCGTTCCTTCCTTCTCCACCTCAAATTCATAAAAAGATTCACCATAAATTAGTTAAAAGAAGCGACCTGAACTATTTATATGATGAGGAACTAAAAAAAGTCCAAAAGCCAAATCCAAAAAGTATATTCTTGAAACCCCGAACACAAAAAAAAAAACGTGCTTATTTTGCAAATAAAATAATAATAATAATAATAATAATAATAATAATTGGTCAATTGGGAGTATGAAACAAAATCAAAAGCAATTAAACAAAGAAAAAACACACTTCATAATTGGCCATATACGGAAAAAAAAACCTGAGACTACATAATTAAAAAAAAAAACACTATAATTGAATGAAACATAAAAAATAAATTTAAAAAATTACACTTTGTAACAAAAATCCAATCAATCAATTCAATCCAAACATAACTTAAATCATATAAAAATTTTAGGCTAACTAACCAAATAAGAAATCACATCATACTACCTGACAACGGCTACGGTAGCTGTAACGGATGGACGCATAAAAATAATAGTAATAACACTATTCTTAAACGGGAAAAACAAAAAATAATAAAAGCCAAACCAATGATCTGTGAAAATAAAATCGTTTAAATTTTAATACCTGTAATGGCACCACCACAATGGCCGAAGCAAGATCAACGAGATTTTTTTTTCCTTTGTCTTTATATCGAGAGGTAAAGAGAATATTTTTTGAAGTTGAAATTTTATCCGATTAAGATGTAATTGATCATCACTAATGAAAAGATTGAACATGCTAATAGGAAAGGAGTATATTTCACCACATATTCTCAATTGATGATTGATGAAGAATTTATTTATTTTTTTTAATTGTGAAGAAGGGATTGATTAAGGAGTCGATTCTCGTACAGATGGGGATGAGGATTTGGGATTTTTATGAACCGGTAGTTTTTTTTTTTTTTGACGGAAATAGGAGGTGGAAGTGAATTTAGACTATATTTGCCTTTTAAATTTAAGAGATGTGGAAATAAAAAATTTATTTTAAAAATATGATGTAGAAATGCCACATGGCAAATGGTGGTGCGTTCTCTTAAATGTGGTTTTTGGTTCTAATATAGTAAGATATATATATATATATATATATATATTGGCTCATTTTTTTGGTTCAATAATTTTTGCAACATTTTTGAGAACTTAACCGAAATTCATGGATGCTTTGTTTTGCTCTTTTTTTAACTACTATTTTTTTGTGTTAGAGGTATTGCGTGAAATTGGAAAATTATGATCTTATGTGAGTTGAGAGTTATCATAGTAATATGATAAAGTTTGTGTTAGATTTTATGATATAATAATTTCTTGTCCGTGTTTTATTGTATAAATTACATTAATCTTTTTTTATATTTCATATTCAAGATGATGTATATTTTAAAAGGTAAAAATATCAGTATGACTCATTCGTAGTAAAATTTTAGAAGTAATAATCGATAAAATTGATAATAACTTAGTAGTGTAATTTTGTAAATTTATACAAATAAATTTAGTAAACTGAAAATGAAAGTTTTAGCGAACTTAAAAAGGAAAAAGAAATGTAATGATATATAGTGGTTTATACAATATTTCTTTCATAATATTTTTTTGTTAGATTTCCCTGAGAAATACTACATTTTATACATTTTTTATCCATTGAAATAATTTTTTTTATTTTTTTTTAAATTCCACCATAGTGAGCTCTTCTTAAAATGTGTGAAAAATCATTCTTAGCAATCAATAAAAAAAAAGCTAAAATAATTAGCAATTGAAAATATGAGTTTTTCATTATTAATTATGTAAACAGTCAAATATATATAGAATGCAATAAAGATGGGTAAAATGCATGGGTGAAAAATAAATTAAAATAACCAATTTACAAAAAAAAAATTTAACCCTTTAATGAAAAGAAATATCTGGCGTTGACATGTGTCAAGAAAAGACTCTAAACTTGACATGTGGCAAAGAAAGCTCTAAACTATATAATTGAGTGACATCTGTTTATTGAAAACTCTCCTTTAATATATGACTAGTGTTTACCGCGCACGTTGTGCAGGTTGTTCAAGATATATATGAGTTTAATGATTTAATGATTATATGACATTTCTACCGGATTGATATATGTAAAAAATAACATTCATGACATAAATTACAATTATTGTAATTTTTAGTGCCAATGTGTTTTGTTATTTTAAGTACATTTAGAATTATTCTCAATATTAGAAAGTATCCAATGTAATTTATTGTCTATCTTAACTACAATGATTATTTTAAGATATTGTTTATTTATGGCTTTATATTTTTTAAAAGTGTTCTTTTAATTTTTTGTAGTGATCTCTCTAACAGAAAATTTTTCTCATTATTTTTTTGATAAACGTATCTTTATTTTCCATCTTTTTATACTTTTTGCAACCATTTTTTATTATTTTGTTCATATATTTTTCTTATAATATCTTGTTTACTTCATTTTTTTTAGTTCCATAGTCCTCATCTATTGTTTTCTAGATTTCATGACCTCTCTTTAAATTTTCATTTCTTGAAACTTATGTAATGTTTTTTTTTTCACTATTATTTCGGTTTTCTTTTTTCATATTTTTTTATTTCTTATATAATTTTTTTCTTTATATAATTATATTTAATATGATTTTCTGCTACCGTTTCTCTGTCACAAAGACCTATTTTTTTTTTTCTCATTTTAAAAAACTTTCTCCTTATTGAGCTCTATATTTTGTTTTATCATCATAAAGTTAACCTTCTCTACCAATATATCATATCAAAAAAAATTATTGAATCATGTTATTGATTTTTTTATATTTTTTTGCAGATAACCAATCTTTGTCAAGGATAGAAGATTTATTGATGATGTTGAAATTTTCTGGCATGCTCCATTTTTCTCTTAAACTCAGGCGATTGAAGATGAAGTTGAAAGAATAGAATAAAGAAGTATTTGGAGATGTTTTTGAAAATTTAAAGTTAGCGGAGGAGACTGTTCAGTAACTTGAAAATGCTCATGACTTATCTAGACCAGATCAAGATCGAGTTGCTCTTAATGAAGCTAAAGCTAGATTGCTACTAAGGCTTAAGAAGCACGATAATTTCTGGTCGCAGAAGATGAAGCTTAAGTGGTTAAAAGAGGGGGACGCGAATACAGCCTTTTTTCATGCCACTTTGAAGGAACGAAGGATCAAGCAAAGCATTTTTAAAATTCAATCGGAGGATCGCAGAATGTTAACTTCTAGTGCTGAAATTGATCAAGAGGCGGTGAGGTTTTTTAAAAGTCTTCTGAATGAACCTGAGGATGAAGAGGATAGTGAAGAATCGCAAGCTTTATTTTTGGAACATATACCTTCGGTCTTATCTCAAGCAGATATGGAAATGTTGCTGTGACAAGTTACTATAGAGGAGATTAAGGAGTCTGTTTTTAACATGAGTGAAGATAGTGTGCCTGGGATCGATGGTTTTGGAGGAACTTTTTACAGATCATGTTGGGACATTATTGCGAATGATGTTTGGTTGGCTTGCTAGGAATTTATGCTTGGAATTTCGATACCTCCGAACTATTTCAAGTACACTAATCACACTCATTCCGAAGAAAGCTGCGATTTTTTTCAAATTATAGATCCATCAGTCTATTTAATTTTCTGAATAAAGTCTTCACTAAGGTACTCACTGAAAGACTGAAAAGGGTTCTACCGAAACTCATATCGGAGGAGTAATCGGCCTTTTTGGAGGGGAGAGATATCTTTGATAATGTACTTTTAGCCTAAGACCTATGCCAATTTCTTAACCCGAAGTATGAGGGTAGGAATTTTGTTTTGAAATTGGACATGATGAAGGCGTTTGATAGAGTAAAATGGAGCTTTCTGGAGAAGGTTTTGCTCAAGTTTGGGTTCCCGCGAGCTTTTGTTCTCCTAATCATGAACAACTTGTGGTATAGCTAGTTTTCTATCATGATTAATGGCGGTCTGGTGGGCTATTTTCAGTCATCTCGAGGAATAAAACAAGGAGCTCCCTTGTCTGAGTATTTATTTCTTTTAGTTTTGGAGGCGATGATGAGAAGGCTAAGGGACTTAGTTGCTGTTGGAACTGTTACTGCTTATGGTGTTCCTTCAAGTTC